AGCCCGGAATGGGACGCTTGTCCAGTGAATCCCATTTAGGATCATATCTGGCACCGGGTTTCGTAGCATTGGGTGCACTCAATACATATGTCACAAGTATTGCCGACACAAAAATCAAACTCTTAATCGCAATCATGATTAGTTTTAAACTAATAATAAAAGTTTATTTCAAAATTTAAGCATTTTATATGAGTAAAAGGTTTCTGAGAAATAGTCACGAATGCTCTAAACATATGCCTAGAATTTATGATATGATTGGGAATAACAGTTATCCAGAAATATTAGAGAATCAGGGTTATTAAGTTGCCAACTTAGACAAACTATCACTTGCTTAGTAGCACAGTATTAATAGTAGTAAAATTAGTACATTTGTATTGGTAACAGAAATGATTAAATATATTTTTAACAAGTTTATGATAAAATACACAATAAGTTTTAATAAATTTATTTATGCTATCAATTCATATGTTGGTTTCAGAGTTTTCATTAAAAAATACTAGTACATATTAGTTATATTCACGATTTACTGAAAAGGTAGTTGCCAACAACAAAAAAATTAAAATACAATTAAGTGAATATTTTCATAACATTATTTGATTACATACTCCACACGGGGTTATATTTGGCATAGTTTGATAACAAGATATTTTAGCATCCTATGCACCCAATAGGTGAGCTAGATTACTATTGTACAGTACTTTTAACTAATTAATGTAAAATTTTATAATATTATAATCATCGATTTATAACAGTTAAAATATTATTTAATATTTCAATAAACAAAATATATAAAGCATTTAATAATTGTTCAAATATTTATTTAGTTAAATCAAAGTATTGTACAGGAATTATTAACAAATTATAATGTGAAAATAAAATAACAATTTATTTTGTAGTAATTTTCAAAACATAAACCGTTTTCAGGCTTTCAGGAGCGACGTGAGGAAAGGTAACAATTGTATGGTCGTCAGCACCTGCCTTATGCTCCAGATTGCCCTCCACTCCCAACATTTGCACATTACTGACTGAGGTGTGTGCAACTGATCCCAACTCCACCTCATTATTTTTGGGCCAAAACAATACCATTGCGTAAACAGCCTGGCCATTTTGCGTATACCTAGTGGAAAATTAGACGTTATTATAAAGTTTTAGAAATATTAGTATGAATACAAACCAAACATCTTTAGTTAGCGTATCGTTTTGATGAGTCCAGGGTTTGCTCTTATATATAGCCTCTCCATTCACATTAAGCCAATCTCCCAGTCCTCGCAACCGTTCCTCCAAAACGGGAATAATAGTGCCCTCTTTGGTGGGCCCGACGTTAAGCAATATATTTCCGCCACAACTACATATTTATAAAATTAGATACAAATAAATTTAAAAACATTAAAAAAAATACTGATTAAGGTCTGGTACCTAATAGTCTGTGCGAGTTGTGTGAGTATTTCCAATGGACTCATAATACCGTTGAGATCGATATTGCGGTGATAACCCCACGAGCCCTTCATGAGTGTGGCCGCATTCTCCCACTTATGAGGCATCAACTTACCAGGGTTGTAATTGTCATCGTAGTTGTAGAAATCACCATGGTGACCGTCGGTCTCAGATCCTTTTGGATACAAGTAATGGTAAATGTGTTAAACTAAATAAATGTTTAATCTTAGTCTCAAAATATTGTACCCCATCTGTCATTCACGACAACCGTATCCTTAACGGGACTAAAAGTGAGATACAAATTATTGAATTGAAAACCTTGATTCAAATTGTTTCAATTCTGACCTATCGTTGTAAAGCCAGGCGAGGAATGCCTCGCTTTTCCAGTACTGAGAGTTTCCACCGCCGGCCCCATCCGACCAAATCAAGTCCGGCTGATATGTGTTCACTAATTCATATAATTCTGGATTTTCTTTAGTCTGTGATTTGTAGCAAAAAAAGTATAAAATAAACATAAAATACATTTTAAACATTATCTCATACGTCGACATATGTTTGGGTCTTGAATCCACTGTCGGCATCAGCTCTGAAGAGTGGATTAAACCATTCAAACAACGAGTGATAAGTACCGAACTTAAGGCCAGCCGCACGGACAGCCTTTGATACGTCACCTGTAGTTCAGTGTATATGAAAGCACTTATAATTTGGGGTAAAATACCAAATGTAGGCGCAGGACATACCGACTAAATCCCGATTGGGTCCGACATCCATGGCGTTCCAACTGTACGAGTACTTCGAGGGCCACATTGTGTACCCCTCGTGATGTTTGGTCGTCAA